ACCTGGCACAAAATTATGATTGTGAAGTGGCAGAGGGGTCCAGCTAATTGAACCTGTCAGTATCTCTCCTCTTGAGAAAATTCGTAACTATCCACACTTAGACTATACACTAAAAGGTCACAATCAAAGAATGGATGACTGTGGGTTAGATCAAATTTTCATGTTACTCAGACTGGTAGATCTGAATGTTCATTGAACTTCCCAGCTTTTTTTAATGTCAGCTTTGTAAAACTAAAAATTGACATTAAGCTAAAAAAAAATCCTTATTTCATAGAATGTACATACATAGAACCCCAATATTAGCATTTACAGAAGCATTAATTGCAGTTAAACAACTGTCACTTAGATGTGCACAGAGAAAAAAAATCAAGAAGTTACCCTATTAGGTCGTTAGATGTACTCCCCAACCTTCCTCATTGTTGATACTACTGATGGAAGATCCTATTCCAAGCTTTTCTGATAAGGAAGATCTGTTCTTCATTACTGCCTTGAATTCTTCCATTTACTTGCCAGGATTTTTCTAGGAGCTACAGCTTCCAGCTAGCTCTATTTCAGCCTGAATCAGTTTCCCTTAAAAACTGATAATGCATTTTAGGCCATGAGAAAAATTGATTACCTCTTTCTACAGCTTTTCTTTTGCTGTAGTGAGTGACTTAATCGAGCCTAAGGAAAAAGCTCTACATTGAAGTTTCAGGTTCTGAGCATGTCCCAAGCCTAAGCAGAAAGGCTCTAGGGAATGCAGTAAGATACTGTGGAGCTGCAGAAGGATCTCAAGGGATATCTATCTATATCTTCTCAGGGTCCAACAGTTAGCAGGACATGGATTTCTGAAACAGCTGACTGCCAGTTTTCTTTAATAACCACTCATGGATCTAAATTCTATAAACTTGCATTTTTTGAAAATTTGTACTTAACCTTTACAACACATTTTATGGCAGTAAGCTCCATAATTTAATACAAAGCTTTATATGAAGTGCTTTATTCTAAATCTATTCTGATAATTTACTTGGATGAGATTTGATTTTGTGTTATGAAAAATAATTAATATTGCGTCTTCTCTAGACCACTCATTTATAGACTATCCTATCTACTCCTCAGTGTTTTGGGGTGTTTTTTGGGGTGGTGGTGGTGTGGGTTGTTTTTTTTTTCTTTTTAAAACTAGAGAAGCTACTTAGTATTTAACATTTTTCTTCAGCTTACCAATGTCAGCACAGAAGCAGGCGTCCAGGGTCAATGAAGCATTTGAGCTTTATAATATTAGTAATAAGGTTAAAAGATAGCAGAATACAAAGTATGTAAAAACAAATGAAGAAAAAAATCTAACGAGACAATGCTAGAAAGCAAAGCCAAGAAACTTAGCTATTTGAATAATTAATTAAAAATATTGTAAGGTAAATGTATATAGATTAGTCAGACATCACAGCTAGACTTTGAATAACGGAGGGCAGTTGAGCAAGCAGTATGAAACAAAAAAAAGTCAATGTTCATGCACAACAGCACACAGTTCATGCTTGTGTGGGTAAAATGAACAGCATTCACTCAAAATGACAAAAGACATAATGATTTTTTTTGCTTAATATTTAGTAGGGCTAAAAAGGGCAATTATATTAGAACTTATATTAGATTGGTCCCCCCTTCCTCTCCCATGTGTCCTTATATTATCTTGTAAAGTTGTCATGTGAAATACTCTGAGTCCTGTTCAGCACTTTCATAGTAATTTTTAGTAGCTGCAAGACCTAACTGCAAAAAAAATAGCTTGATTTCAGTCATTGCATTTAGTTTATCTAAGAAGTTGAGGACAAATTCCTAGTACAGGTGATGGAGAGCCTGACCAGAGGAGAGGTCCTGCTGGATCTGTTGCTCACTAATGCAGAAGAACTTATCAGAGAGGTCAAGACTGGAGGTAGCCTGGGCTGCAGTGATCATGTCCTGGTGGAATTCTCAATCTTGAGGGGTACAGGATGGGTAAAAAGTAGAGTCAGAACCTCTGAAAGGCACACTTTTGACTGCTAGTACCTGAGATCCCTTGGGAAACTGCCCTCAGAGGCAAAGGAGCGAATGCAAGCAGGGAGATATTTAAAGACATTTTTCTTGGGGCACAAGAGCTCTCAAACCCAATGTGCAAGAAGTAGGGCAGGGCAGGCAGGAGGCCAGCTTGGCTAAGTCAAGACCTCTTAGCCAAACTAAAACACAAAACCAAAATTCATACACAGTGGAGTCAGGGATATACATCCTGGGGAGATTACAGGGATACAGCCCGGGAGCGCAGGGAGGGGATCAGGAAAGCCAAGGCACAACTGGAGCTGAACTTGGCTAGGGATGTGAAAAATAACAAGTTTCTTCAGATACATAGGACAACAAAGGAAGATGAAAGAAACTGTACCCCTTTCATGAGCAAAATGGCAGACCTGGCTACAACAGACTTGGAGAAGGCTGAGCTACTCAACAACTTTTTTGCCTCTGTCTTCACCACCAAGTGCTCTAGCCCCGCCACCCAATTCATAGAATCCAAAGGCTGGGACTGAGAGAATGAAGTACTACCTACTGTAGGAGAAGATCAAGTTTGAGACCATCTCAGGAGCCTAAATATGCACAAGTCCATGGGACCTGATGAGATGTGTATTGGGTTTGCATGGTAAAGTTTTCGTAGTGGGGGGCTACAGGGGTAGCTTCTGTGACACGCTGCTAGACGCTTCCCTCATGTCCAACAGAGCCAGTGCCAGCCAGCTCCAAGACAGACCTGCTTCTGGCCAAGGCCGATCCCATCAGCAATGGTGGTAGTGCCTCTGGGATAACGTATTTAAGAAGGGGAAAAAACTGCTGCAGAGCAGCAGCCAGAAGAGAGGAGTGAGAATACGTGAGAGAAACAACTCTGCAGACACCAAGGTTGGTGAAGAAGGAGGGGGAGGAGGTGCTCCACATGCAGGAGCAGAGACTCCCCTGCAGCCTGTGGGGAAGACCACGGTGAGGCAGGCTGTCCCCCTGCAGCCCAGGGAGGTCCACGGTGGAGCAGATATCCACCTGCAGCCCATGGAGGAGCCCACACCGGAGCAGGTGGGTGCCCGAAAGGCCGTGACTCTGTGGGAAGCCTATGCTGGAGCAGGCTCCTGGCAGGACCTGCGGACCCATGGAGAGAGGAGCCCACGCTGGAGTAGGCTTTCTGGCAGGACTTGTGACCCCGTTGGGGGACCCACACTGGAGCAGTCTGTGCCTGAAGGACTGCAGCCTGTGGAAGGGACTCACGCTGGAGCAGTTCATGAAGGACTGTAGCCCACAGGAAGGACTCAAGCTGGAGAAGTTCATGGACGACTGTCTCCCGTGGGAGGAACCCCATGCTGTGGTCAGCTCATACACAACAACGTGTGATGGAACAAACCACAACCCTTGTTCCCTGCCCCCCTGTTCTGCTCAGGGGAGGAGGTAGAGAAAATGGGGAGTGAAGTTGAGCCCAGGAAGAAGGGAGGGGTGGGGGGAAGGTGTTTCAAGATTTGGTTTTATTTCTCATTATCCTACTCTGATTTGATTGGTAATCAATTAATTTCCCTGGGTCAAGTCCATTTTGCCTGTAACAGTAACTGGTGAGTGATCTCTCCCTGCCCTTATCTCAACCCACAAGACTTTAGTTGTATTTTCTCTCCCCTGTCCAGCTGCAGAGGGGAGTGATAGAACAGCTTTGGTGGGCATCTGGCATCCAGCCAGGGTCAAACTACCACAGATGCATCCTCGTGTCCTGAGGGAACTGGCAGATGAAGTTGCTAAGCCACTATCCGTTGTATTTGAGAAGCTGTGGCAGGCTGGTGAAGTTCCCAGTGACTGGAAAAGTGGAAACACAACAGCCATTTTTAAAAGGGTTAAAAAGGAAGACCTGGGAAGCTGCTACAGGCTGGTCAGTCTCGCCTCTATGCCAGCAAGATCATGGAGCAGATCCTCCTGGAAACTATGTTAGGACACATGGAAAATAAGGAGGTGATTGGTGATGGCCAGCATGGCTTCACTAAGGGCAAATTGTGCCTGACAAATTTGGTGGCCTTCTACGATAGGGTCACAGGATTGGTGGATAAGGGAAGAGCAACGGACGTCATCTACCTGGGCTTGTGCAAAGTATCTGACACTGTCCCACACAACATCCTTGTCTCTAAAATGGAGAGACATGGATTTGATAGATGGACCACTTGGTGGATAAGGAATTGGCTGGATAGTCACACTTTGAGAATTGTGGTCAACAGCTCAATGTCCAGGTAGAAACCAGTGACGGAGTCATGTCCCTCAGCTGTCTGCATTGGGACTTGTATCATTTAACATCTTTATTGGGGACATGGACAGTGGGATTGAGTGCACCTCAGCAAGTTTGCCAATGACATCAAGCTGTGTGGTGCAGTCAACGTGCTGGAGGGAAGGGATGTCATCCAGAGGGACCTTGACAGGCGGGCCTGTGCGAACCTCATGAAGTTCAACAAGGCCAAGTGCAAGGTCCTGCACATGGTCAGGGCAATCCCAAGCACAAAGACAGGCTGGGCAATGAGTGGAGTGAGAGCAGCCCTGCGGTGAAGGACTTGGGGGTACTAGTGGATAAACTACATCTGAAAAAGTGAAGACAGATACTGTTAGGCAATATAGCATAACACAATATGGGCTGATTAGGAAGCATGCTCAACACTCACAACACACTCAACATCTGCAGCCCTTTGCACAGAAAGATATATCATCTTTCCTAAGTGTTTATCTTAAAGCCAATAAATTTGTTTGCAAAAGCTCTGGAAAAAAAATAAAAAAAACAACACACCGGAAAACCTACATTCTTGAGATGACACTTTACTGTTAGTTCAAAATGTTCACAAGGCCATGTACAGCAGGAGCTGAGTTATTACAAATTTTGCCTCTACAGAGTACAAAAAAATACTAAAGGAAATGGAGAAGACTTAAAGCAATCTAAGAAAGGAACATAAAAGAAAAGTAATGAATAAAGTATGATTTTTTTAAAAGTAAAAAGGACTGTTAAATATCTTTATGCATCACCTGAATTTGCATCTTATAAAGGAGCTGAAAAAACCCTCCACACTGCAAATCTTGGCATCACTTGCCATAAAACAAAGCCAACTGTAACTGAGCAGTTAAAAGTAAAAATGTTTGTCTTCATATTTCACCCTCTGACCAAATATAAACTTTATTAAAGAAAAAAAATAATCAAATCATCCAAGAAGAAGAGGTTGCTGATCCAAAAAAGATTATCATAGAACTTCAGTATGTCTTAGCCCTCTAGTCAGAGTACTGGTTTAAAATAAACACATAGGTCACGCTACATGTGAAAGGCTTCTAGGCGCATTCTGTTTGGATCTTCTGGATGTCTCAGGGCAATTCCATATCGTAGCAGCAGCTCAATATAAGGTGGCCAAAATGAGTCATTGATTGTTACATAAGGGTCATGTGGTGTGCTCATTAATTTCTGTATAAGAATCTGGAAGACCAAAAGGATAAGATTTAGGAATGAACAAAAGAGATTTTTATCTCCTTTAACTGAATTTATACAAATTATTATAATGGGACACTTATGTAGGCAATACAAGAAATACAAGACTACAGGAGAAATACAAGACCTGTTCAAGGTAGAAGTAAAGCAAAGAACTTCCAATTAACTTTATTACATCTTTTTTGATGTAAAAATTAGAATCAGAATTCTCCTTTTATCCAGACTAAGTTTTTCACCATCTGTCAAAAATGCTTAGTGTAACAGTGAATGCCTAAAAAAGCTGAACATGAAGGTAGGTAAATCCTTATATAATTAATCTTTAAATCAGTATCTGTTAATTTAAGATTAAAAACATTAAATAAGAGGGAAAGCTAGTTTTTTGGGAATCCCTTGCCTCAAAACCATAATGACTTACTGTCAACAAATAGTATTTCTCCCTCACTCTTTCAGATTTTAGCAGAAAGGAATGTCTATCTTAAAAGTTTTGTAAATTTCATTTTTCTAATCTAAAAAAAAAAAAGTCTGTCTTCTTAGATTGAGAAGAATTCTTTTTCCTGTATTTTGTGTCCTTCTGTAGGGAGTGTTAGAAATAAAAAAGTCTGCACCTGTGAAAAGTTAAACATCATAGTCCTACTTTAACTTCACTACATTTGCACATCAAATCTTTTTGCTCATCTCATAAATGGATTGTCCAAATTCTTAATATCACTTCTTGTTTAGGCATGACAAGTACCTTACAACAATTCTCCTCCTCTTGATGCTTCCTTATTCCTCCTTTGTTCCTTATCTAAATACAGAATTAGTTAATGGAGTTTAAAAAAAAAAATCAGTTTTGACATTATTTTTCTGTTCTTGGAGACCATGTTTGTGTCCTCATAATTCTGCTCATGGGGAATACTGCACACAATACAGATTAAATAATCTTGCCTATCCCATGGTGCTCTCTCTATTCATCCCAGATATTTCACCTTTCTACTCAGAGCTTCTAAATGTTACAGCTTTCCCAATTTCAGTAGGTACAAAATATTCTGCCTGCCTCTTTATTGCTAAAGAAAAACTCAAAATCCTCACTACCAGACTTTACTTTTTTTTCATCAAGTGCTATTAAAAGAAAATTTGAAAAGAAAAAAAATACTGCTCTTCTTTTGCAGAACATTCTGAAGAATTGTTCCAGTTTATGTCTTTTGTACTTATCTGCCCCAATTATGAGTATTTACTCCAAATGCATTATTTTAGATGAATTGCTACTTAGTCTTTTCTGACATCTGATATTCCAAAATAGCCTTTATGGCTGTAACTTTACATACATTTGTATTGTAAACAGTCTTTCAAATCTTAAACTCGTTCACTAAATTCTCAATCAGAAAGGAATAATCCTCAAACTGTTTAAAAGGAAAAGAATTACTAAATTTGTAAAAAATTACAGCTCATTACTGGAATAAGAAGCAGTATAATAAAAATTCTGAGGTTTGCATGAGAGAAGTTTACTGCTTGCTTACTACTTAAGCTAATTTAATGAAGTAGGTACTGATATACCTAAATAATAGAAATGTATACACCTAGCTTGTCAAAGTGGATTTATTAAAAAAGTACACTTTCATTATTTAACAAACATACACATGGAGATTGAGGATTCCAACACCTTTGAAATTGAACAGGCACTTGAAGTTAGAACCAAGTTGCTCAACAAAAAAAAAAACCCATAAAACAAAGATAAGGGACATTGACAGTTTACTCCAAGACAGTTAAAAATAAGTCTGAATTTTTGGAAGTAGTTATGTTCTTCCAAATGGAAGTCAGACATTACTTGGATGTGTTCACATTTTGAGGAGATTAACAATATCAGAAAAATATGAAGGGCAATTTTAAAGTATTAGAAGAGCTTTGAAATTTTAATTCCATAGGGAATGTGGCTGTTTTAAATTCTGATCTGTTTTCAAGCTCTGACTAATTTGGTATTAATAGGCATGCTGAGATACTTGAAGGATGTAAAATGATTTTGATGATGTAAGCCCAAAGTCTGAGCTTTAAATTAAAGTACAACGTCATAGTGATCATAGCACCTTAATACCAAGAAGTTGTTGTTCATCAAGTTTTCCCTCAGGAAAAAACTCTTTCCCCCAGGGAAGACTTAAAACCATCTAAAGAGTGAGGATGGAGGAGGAATAGGAAATTTCACTTCAAACACTACATTGAAAACAAGAAGGAACAATGCTAGTGAAAAGATTTTTAATGCTCCTTCAAAATTATGCTTTGCAAATCAAATTGATAAATTGCACTGTGATTAAAAAGACACACTAAGCAATGCTGGCATACTTAGAAAATCGATTAGAAATGCATGAATCTGATTTGACTGATTTCCTCATATGAGGAGATAATCCAGATAATACACAAGACTACACATTAATTGGTCCTTCTATAACTGTTATTGTATTATATTTCAGAAATACTTTTATTGAAACAGTATGAAGTATAGCATGAATTGGAACAATTCATTTTTTTCTTAAGCATAGGATTTGTCTCCTCTAATATGAGCCACTAAGGCTAATAAAACTTCTTTAAAATGATCATCATTAAATTAAGAAATAAGGGATAATCATTCCTCAGCTTAAACTGAAGATTTAGTTATCTGAATTATTGCCACATCTCTTGTAAAAAATTGGGCTTTTAATTTGATAGGAATTAAAATAGAAATCTGACGTAACATTCTTAAACATTCTACTTTTCAATTAACTATCTTAACCGTATGTCATATACTGTTATTTACTTATTAATATATTATGAACAGATCTGAGTTTTGGAAAATCCCCCAAATCTCTACATAACAAAACCGTCTTACCTCTAAAATTTCATGCAGTGTTATCAGTTCTACAGCTGGCTTTTCAAAAGACTTCTGCAAAGACAACCACACCCCCAGGCAAATTAACAAAACCCAAAACTAAATAGTCAGGAAAAATGTTAACTGACAAAGAAAAATAATCACACAATTATTTGACTGCATAGTACACAACAGATGAAGACTTTTAGTTAGATTTAGTCATGACAGAAATACAAGGTAGTATTTAAATCTACCAGTTCAGTATCATACACTTTAAATGTAATATTTTTAATTAATTATTAAAAAAGATTAATCTTAAGCAATCATAGTATATCTACCTGGGCTTACATTTAAATAAAACCAAGTACATATTTATAATGTAGTACAGTGTAAAACATTCTATGAATATGATCTGTTAGGGAAAAAAAGTGTTTTTCATGAACTTTAGAAAAATGTTTACAATGCAAATTTGACACAGCTCAAGACTTCAGCTCATACTGCCTTAATATTTCTTCATGATTGGCCGATGAATATTTGTTTACTCTTACTTCAACTTCAATTAAAAAAATAGGCCAAAAGAAATAGAATAGTTAAAAATGAAAAATTTATAAAATATCATTAGAAAATTACTTGTTTTCATTTGTAGCAAGCAAATCAAGACATTTGCCTATAAATTGATATGGATTCCTTAGGCAGCACTGCCAACAAAGCTGCTTGTGCTGTTGCACAGTGAACCTGATTCTTTTATTTTTCAATTTTATCCTTTTTCCCCATCCACTTCACATTCAGCAAAATAAAGGAGATAATACAGCACTGGCAACTGCTTACTCAGCACTGCTGTTGAATATGTCAACTTAAGTCCTAAGATATTAACAGCCATGCAGCACCTTATACAAAGTCCACTTCTGGAACAGAAAAGGAATACAAGCAATAAAGAATAATTCGTGAAAGGCAAGCTCTGGCTCCTTTCTTCCCAGTCACAGTTCTTAATATTCTCACCTTCAGAAAGCCACAAGGGGGACATAGTGCCTGCTCCATGGAAGCCTTGCAGACCATGGAGCTAGGTCTCAATAATGCCTGTCTTTGTGCCATTATCCTGATACTAGGCTGAGGAAATAGAATCTACACTAAGAAGCTGCAAAAGGTTCCTTAGGGCAATCATGGAGACACTTCGTAACCTTAGCTGTTGTATTTCACTGGCCAAAAATACTACTTCGTAACTTAGGTAGTGGGTTCAATATTAATGTTTCAAAGTTGAAATTAGGTTATGACTTCAGTCATTACTAAAACTGATATACAAAGAATAAAATCTTAAGGATATTAGTGTAAAGACGTTTGCACTCTTACAGAACTAGCAAACTTAATTTGCTGGGTTTATAATATACATTGTGTATCTTGCTTTGCAAAATTATATTACTTACATATTTTAAGTGTCACTGATGTAATAAGTATCTCTAATTAATTAATGCTTATCAAGTCACTTCTAAGCAGGATGCTCAGCATATATTTAACCTGAAAGGCACCTTCTCCCTTCCATGAGATAGATTGGCATAAAGAATATTCCTCAACATATGACTTCTCATATTTCTTCTCTTGAAAAAATGTCTTTTTTTTCATCCAAGATTTAAAATGCAAGATAATTCTTACCTCAGTCACTACCTATACTAAAGGTGTTGGGCCATGGCAACAGAAGCTAACATGGGCTGCTGTGATTCAGTCTTTCCTCCCACTCCCAAATGCAGGTGCCTGGTGAAAGGAGGCTGGAACCAGAACAGTGAGGCTTGGAGCAGTTCAGACTACTCTGGAGCCATGCCCCACAGATGTCAGCCTTGCACATTTGCCCTCACACAGAACTACTGAGAACACAGGAAGTTTCCATGAAGTGAAGCAAAATTACTGATGTACAGAGTTAAAAGAGTTCAGTGCTTCCAGAGTGTTGAACCAAGCTGATAATAGGTGTGAATAATGTGTTCCCCCAAATCAACATAGCAGCAAATTTCATTGCTAATGTCAAAAATTTGTATTTCTGACACAACAAAGAAAACAATATAGGTGAAAATGGCTGTCTCTCCTGCCTTTAGTTAATCACTTAGATGCCGATTACGTGGGACCTGCAGTTGAGCCATTGAGATCCAACTGAGTCAAAAGATAGAGAAGCAGCTATGAATTCACAAGGAGTGAAAAGAAAGAAAAAGACTTGTCAGAAAACAAACTGTGTTTAAGAGTTCAGGAAATGCATAAATAAAATTAAAACTAAGACAAGATAATATCTTGCTTGGAAATTTATCAAAATAAATTTTATATTTAAGTAAAACAAAAAAAAAGGTAGGTGGTGATTAATCCCTACACCTTGGGTGATTATTTTTTTCTTTAGATTTTAATAAGAAAAATTGCATGGAAGAGAGATGAAGGCAGGGGAGCTAATAAGAACTTCTGATAGTATAACAGAAGTTGAGAAAATTCAAGCAGTTGATTTTGCTCTGAGGCAGAAGATCTTAACATAAAATCTTCCTCAGAATTCTGAAACACACACATGAATTCACTGTTTCTTATATTTAAAACATAGTTGAATATGACCATGAACAACTCGATCTAACTTTGACATTGGCACTACCTTGATGGTGTTGGAATGGAAGATCCCCAAAGTCACTTCCAGCCTATATTTTTCTACGACATTACATAAATGAGAGCAAATAAACTGGTGTATCTCATTATAGGAAATATATTTTTAAGAAAATAATAATGATACATATGGGAAAAACAGATAATTGCTTAAAATGCATCTAGGAAAGTCAGCAGTGTTTGAAGAGGCATGTCCTAGAACAATTTTAAGACGAGTAAGAACCAGCAAATAGGGAGATGACATACCAGGCTGAAATCAGGAAATACATGATTGAAAGATTACAGTTAATTAAATCCCTGAATCTTTAATTTCTTAATGTTGGAGCAAAATGTATCATATTTAGTAACAACAGGAAACTGGAAGACATTGATATGCAGAAGAACTAAGAATAAAATGGTTGAATTAGACTTTGAAAATGGACATCATGCCTTGAAGGCTTCGTGTGGTATTTTTATGTGCAAAATACGTACTTCTGTGCAAAAACAAGTATTTTTTTTTTTTTATTAAAAGCTCAGAGCTCATCAGTTGGAATTAACAGGAAGAAAAAGACAAGGATGTAATTAGTTGCTTTTGTGATGACTATGAGCTAGTAGTTTTGTTTATAATACTGGTTTTTACCAGGTTACAAAAAAGATGAATCCAAGTTGAAGCAAATAGAGAAAAATAGGTATTATTAGGATAAGTCAGGAAACTGAAAAAAACCCTACCTTACAGGATAAGAACAAGAAAGCTTTGCTAGTTCAATTAGCCAAACGAAGAAAGAGCGGGTATAAGATTGCTGCCTATAACTATCAGGAGGAATAAACACAAGAAAGAACGAGCTATTCTAGGGACAATACTGGCATAAGAATACATGGATCTGTGTTAGACATGAACAAATTTAGACTGGAAATTAGGAGATAGTTTCTAACCACAGTACTGAGGTACGAGAACAAACCCAAACAGAAACAGTAGTAACAAAAATAATTAGTTTTAAAATGGAGCTCAATGATTATATTGAAGAAATTATATTACGCGGTTGTCTGAAATAACAGGGAACTATATTGAAGAAATCCTTTCTATTTCTGTATTCTTAAGTGTGTCTGAAACCAAAAATCAACCTCCACCTTTTTTGTAGCTTTTGTAACTATTGTTTCAAATAGTAATGGTAAAAGGTTTATTTTTACTGCAGACTTTGAATTTATTATGCAAAATGCTCCCTGACTGCCTATTTTCCTTAAAGTTTTAAGATAATTTTTGGCCCAGTTAGCCTGAACAGAAACTGATGGTTAACATTCCAAACTGCGCTATAATTATAAACACTTGTCCTTATTATTGTTCCAAAAACATTGTGAGACAATTAAAATTTGCTTTGCCAAGGGAAATATGAAGCCACTTGCCTAGTCCAGTAAAAAAGAAAATGGAACAATTTGGAGTGAACCCATCACCATTTCCAAATTTGGCACAGCTTGCAGTTCAGTAAGAAATAAAATACATTGCTATGCATCTCATTGGGTAAAGGATATACGCATTAAAAAAAAATCCAGCTGCAAACACCCTTAAATAATATAAGCCAGTGTGAAAAATATCAATTAAACCTAAAGGATCAGCAGTATGAACTCTACTTATTTCAAAATAGAACTGCAGATTCTATACTAGTGACTTAAAAAAGGTATTGCATCTAATTAAACAGAAATTGCACATTCCAAATTTAATAGTTACTAAGAAAATCTTACCTTCTTTTTAGTACTTGCACCTTTCTCTGGAATGGGAAAATGTTCTCCTAGGAATTCACCCAGAGCATTCAAGAGTCCTTCCTTATACGACTTTACTTTCAACATTTTATTTTGCAGTTGTTGAAGTGCTCTAATGTTCAAATTAATAGTAAAAATATAGCAATAGAATATGAAATTCAATAAAATAATTGAAAAGTTCTTCAGTAAAAAAATCCCTTATTTTCTACTGTTGTGAATTCAACATCTTGAATCACAGGATATAAGCAGAGAGTAGCAATATTTTTCATGTTTCAAATATGGATTACTGAGTTATTATTTGATCTATTTAACAAAACAAGGAGTATGTTTTAAGAGTTTGTTTGCTCATTTTCTGTTGTTGATATTTAAATTCTTCCATATAAAAACACTGTAGAAATACCTTTTTCTGGAAAGTTGTTCAGTTTGGGTTTTCATCTCTTCTTCAATTCTATTAAGAGCATCTACTACCTGCTCCTGTTCCTCCTGCCACTGCTGTTCTCTTTGAAACATGAAAAGTAGGAAATGGCACAACAGATAAGTAGTTTTCCTGGACAGTCAAAAAAATAATGTGTGGTAAGAAAAGCTTACAGCATTCATAAGTCCACATTATTGTATTACCTTTTCAGATCTTCTTCCAGTTGTTCATTCTTTGACTGAATTATTGACAGCACCATTTCAAGATCATTCTTTGTTTTCTGCAACTATAAAAAAGTAAAAATAAACCTAGAGTTTGCAGATAACCCAGTCTGTGGTATTTGTTCTGTGTAAGGTTACATCTGTAAATCTGGTAAAGAGGGCCAAAATTATCTGTAATTTCTTAAAAAAATATGGCTATGGAGTGACACACTATTTTTTTAAATCCACTTGGAGCTATTTAAAATGTTACTGTCACCAGTTGCCTATTAGTATCTTATTGAAGCTCTGTAAAACGTAGTTGATTGTACCTGAAGCAGACTATGGAGGACACACATGAACTGCTCATCTCATGAAAGACTGAGAAGATATCTGCTCTACCAGGGCTGCGTTGTCTAAATCATTGCAACTGCTTGCAAGAAAGAATCGTGCTAATTGCACCAACATAAAGCATATAGCACTCAGAAAACAAACCTGCTGCAAAGAAAGACTTAATTGCATCCATTAATTAAATGGCCTACAGTGATATGGACATAATTGGGAGAGGAAAGAGGGAGAAATAAAAATACTGCAGCCAGAAGATAGGGAACAGTGGACTCTCAGTGGACTGGGTCTTTCATTAATGCATTATGTTCTACAAAGTAGTATTTCTAATAGTTTATGGTTTTTTAATACAAAACTATGATTTGGATATATTTTGTCTCCTTCCATACAAACTATAAGAACTTTTATATTTATATTTCACAAAAATTGTGAAAATATTCTACAGAAGCAATTACGCTCTATATATGCAACATCTGAAAAAAATTTGGAATCCTTAACAAGACAGGCCACAAAATAGGATATCAGATCAAATATGCCATAGCAGTACAGTCAAACGAAAGCGTGCAACCAAACAACTCTTAATAGCAGTTGGGTTCCCTGTTGTGAGTGATACTAGAGGGAGGAAACCTGCTAGGAACAAGAAAACCAGAAGTGTTTGGGTTTTTTTAAGCCATAGCCACAGGAATATTCACTGGTCATGTTGCATACCTATGTCCAACGCTACCCCCAAGGCAGTCTTGATTTTCTCTTTCTTCCAAAGCTGGAAGAACTCAAATTATTTGCAGATTACTGCCACAGAACTCCAGATCCAAGAATACTGACTCTTCTGCGTAACACGTAATGTTACATTATTTTATATCAGTATGAAATGCAATATTTAAAGTTTCCATTTAAAAGATCATTCATTACAACTACAACAGTGCCTGAAGAAGCATACACAGTATCTTAGCAGTAGTCCACCACAGGAGTGGTTATAGGAAACTGCAACAATTGTATATACTTCCCCCCCCCCCCCAACAAAAATTAATTACCTTGTAACAAACAAAAAGACTTACCTCTTCTTTTCCTAATGCTAACAGTACATCTGGATTGTTAGAAATTACTGAAAAATAAAATGAATTGGGTTTTTTTGCATCAGATGATATATACTTGTTTACATTGAAAAGCAACCTGGCTAGAGAGAAACTTTTGTAGCCTCTAAAAAACTAGCTTGGCTGTCAGCAGCAGTGGTGTCCTGCTGGGCTAACCTACTGTCACTTTTCATCAAGTTAAATTAGACTGAAACAAGTGTGGTATTAATGCTTCTGTGTTATTTTTTATACTTGAACTAGCTCAGGTATATAGGTATAGGTACAATACTGAAATGCAAAGTATAGTCGTACTTCAAGCCTGTTTTTTTCAGTGGAAGGTATTCAATCAGTATTACCAATGTGGGCAATCAAATTCTTCCAGTCTTCCAGTTCCTTGTTGAAAAGCCTCCCACATGCTTGATCAGGATTGTAAAACCCATCAGACTTCAAGAACTTAAAAAGCAAGTCACCATCCTTACTGTCCACAAGAACAGCAACATATAGGGAAAGGAAAGGCCCAGCAAGGCCAGTATCCTAACTCTAACCCAGAGCAATAGCAGTACTTAAGGGAAAGTACAGTACTATTCAAGGATGTGGTAATGTTCCCCAGAATGTTTCTGCAAAAGGTAGCAATTTATGGGTCATGGATTTTCTGAATAAAAAGTGAATTGTTGTATTTGATAGCCTTCAATGGACTACAGTCAATTCTCAGTTCCATGTCAGCTTGCAGCATCTGCATAAACGTATGACTTTTGAAAAATTGAAGCATTTGAATCTATTAAGAGGAAAAATGAAAGCTACTGTAACATTTAAATCTTAATACGATGGGGATATTTTTTGTCCAAGCTTGGGCTCTGAATCTCTAATCCTAATTACTTCAAGAAAAGCTTTTCCTTTAACAAAAAGGAAAACCCTTAACTTTCTCATAAAAGCATTAAATATCTCCTAAATACAAACCAGTTGATTTCATAAATGTATAAAAGTACTTTTTGGTAAAGTAATTTTATAGTTTTTATCTCCATGAATTTTGAGAAGCCTTAGATCAGCAGTTTTAAAAGCAGTGTTTGTTCTGAGATGAAAATCAGCAAAACTACTGAGTTCAAAGTGCATTTAATTACATGTCACAATAAAATCCCTTTTACTTAGAGAGAGAATTACTGTCTCTAAATTTTGACAGAAAATTTGAGTAGAGTGCTCCCAAATCAAGCTTATGTTTAAGAGCTGTGGGAGGTAGTGGTCTGTGCTATTATTAGAGCAAGATTTCTTTAATGACATGAATATCCTACATACACATGATAAAATTCATTGGTGTGCTTCTATGGACATTCACTGGTGTATTTGAAGAATCCCATACAACTCCTTCCCCTGCCCACCCCTTGTGATTATCATGGGCCCTCACTACCTGGAATTATCAATTTCTACTATTGGTTTCTAACACTTCTTCATTTTTAGATACCTAACCCTGAGTACGTGCTTCCCATTCAATATTCATATTGTGTGAGTATTAGAAGAGAAGGCCACATCTTGCTAGGAAAGAAATCACTAACCCTTATTTATGAAGGAACAATGCAGATGTAAGACACTGGGAGAACACATTATGGCAGCTGCTGCTATGAAGAACACAGGTTGCTCTACCTACTGTCAGTTAAATCTTCTTCAGTTATGAATTGCTACGCTTCCAAAAATCAGATGTCAAACAGAATTGCCTAGTGATACATAGTACAATTACTAAGCAAAATACTACCAGATGCTAGGAATGTAAAAGCAACTGCTATGCATATGTTTATATAGTAACTCCTATTAAAATGGAATTTGGCAGAATACTGATATTTTGCAAAGAAAAATAGAAATCATGCAGGGACCACAACTGGTTTATATGGTTTAAAATATGGTTGCTTCCACTTCCTTATTTTGCAAAGGTAAAAAGTTAAATTCTATTTTTATGAGCCAAATGCTTGTTAAAAAGTTTTAATTCAGCTGATTTAGCAGCTGTAGAGCTACATAAATAGTACCAGAAATTGAGAAAGAACAAGAGACTAAAGTAAAAGCTTTGCAAAAATAAAATTTGCATTGTGGATTCAAGTCTGTTTGCCAATATTGTGCCCAAAGAAATGTAGAACTGCCAAGTTATAACCTCAGAAAATAAGGTTTAAAATTGAAATGCTGACGTGCCCTCATTTACAAGAAATGAACCGGCCATTACTAAAAGCAGAGACTAAAGTAACAAGACAGCCTGACATGCATGCTCTACTAGCAAATTTTATGAAAGTAGAATTTGTGCTATACCTTTTTAGATAAATTCAGCCAATGTTTTCAATTAAGTAATTCCTCCTTCAAAACAAACAGTAGGTAGAAAGGGGCCAATATGGACAGAGAAGATGTATGAAAAATGAGGAATTTACTGTGCTTACAAGCACTATAGCTCTATTCAAATTCTTAGCAGCAACTTTTTTTCTTACCTCAGAAAGGCAGCCATAAAGGCAAAGCTTTTGCTGCAAAATATTCTTTGCATTATAATATGCATAAATCATTCCTCTAGTACAAAATCAAGATTCCTAGTCTAAATCTTATCACCTGGGAACAAGTATGAATGGTTAAGCAAACCAAGTCAGCAAGCCAATAAAAATAGGTCAAGCCCCAAGAATATTTTTAAGCAAATAGCTTAAAGTTTAAAATAATTACATATTTTACTAAGGAAAACCTTACATCTCCAGGTATTTTACCCGGACTAAAACTGTAAGTGCTTTCAATTAATTTGCTTTAAGCCAGAAGCTTATTCATGAGCAGCAGCTAAGAACCAGTTTTTCCCAAATTCATTCAATGTCATACTTTTGGTCTACATACCTCTAAGAAGCATTTGAAGCTGTCTCTTCTTAGAGACAGGTGTACAAAGCACATGAACTATGAATTTATTCTAATATTCTATTCATAAGAAAGAAAAACTTTTTTTTTCCAGCTCCTATTATTTGATCACAGTATGCAGCAAGTACATGAACTTTAAAAGAAGCTGGAAAAGTGACTTAAATGTTCATCTGAAAATCCATTCCAATTTGGCCAAATGACAAAATACTGGAAATTACCATCTGCTGTTTAAAACAGATTCCTATCATTTTGTAAACACTAAAAAGAACAAGCCTCTTCTGGCATAAAAATATTCAAATAAGTCAGTTTATCCATTTAAAGATTAACTACTAAGTTTTACTAGGTTGAAAGGTGCTACCAGAATACTAATGATAATGTAGTGTGAACTACTACTTGGGAGTCTCCAAATGGGAGATGTCAAAAAACAGATTACTTTATTCACACTTAGATTCTGAATGGTTTTATTTTCAGTATCTGGCCACATCAGCCTTGCAACAGAGTGAAATCAGTCAGCACTGATGCTTATGTACAAAAAGAATTTTGAAGGACTGAGGAATTTATACCTTTTGACTGATAATGCCTAACAAAATATGAGAGCTACTACTTGTCTCAGTGGTCTGTGCTTCTCAGGATCAGTAAGTGATCTGGATTCCTGTGTTGTTAAAATGAAATGTCTTTTACCACCTTTTCTTGACCTGAAATCTCTGGCCCCTGTTAAATCAAAGATAGATATTTTATTATGGTGTAATGGGCTTACCACTAAAGGTTTATTTCAGAGTTTCAGCTAGTACGTCATAATACAACACACTTTTGTGAAGTATTAATTATAAAAATCAAAGAATGTATGGTTAAAAATATGTCTGGGTGAATTATTGTTAGTTTATTAGCAGTACTTGGAAAGATAAAAAATATATCAGCTTCTTAAAAGACAAAATTATTTGCCAAAGTAGTTCTGTCCTAAAAAGGAAATACAAATGGAAGACGGAGAAGAAACAATCACAGAAAGGAGAAACCTTAAGGAGGGGAACAGCATACTGAACTTTTGTTATTTCGATAAGTGATCTGCTAACAGTTATTTTTCCGTTTAACTGACTGATGAATGGTGATATGAATCATGCATTTATTTGTCCAGAATCATAAGATTTAGTAGAATTCACTTTGAATTCTAAGTTCACTTAGAACTGAAGTACCAGAAGAATACAGAAATGAAACATACATGCTACTGTGGGAAGTGTTTAATTTAATGTTTTAATAGTTATAGTACAAAAATACAAACCACCTGACATTTGGTATATACACAGTTTAATATGCCTAGATGAAAGAGACTTTGCAGAAGTTTAAGTATACCTTACATGGAAGCAGTTACTTACTTTCAGGAGTTCTTTTTTGCCATTGATTGTATTCCGCTTGTAAAGCTTTCACTCGCGTTGTTAACAAGGAAAGCTGTGCAAGAAGAAAATAAGCATTTCTTGAAGTGAGTTGAGATGCAATGGAGTAAAATGAGATAGTACAGGACAGAAATTCAGTTAAGTTCATACAGCAGAAAACAAAAGACCATCTATTACAATAGACCACTTATTCCTTCAAAAGATTTAAAAAGCCACTCGCAGGGATCAAGAAACATTTTTATTGTTTCTTCAAAAGGGGGAAATCAGAAGTAGTCAGAGTTGGCATTTTTCCCCCTATTTCATCTGTAATATCACACAATAACCACAACTGAAGATGAGCCACTAGAAGCAATGACAATACTTCACATCCCCACTCCTTAGATGCATGGCTGATACACATTTAAGGTTAATGGACTGTGCTTGATATGTGTGATTACTAAACAAAAGATTGGCTTCCAAAAAGTCAGTAGTCAAATCAGTTTCTATCAAAACGACATCTGTGGACTCAACAAAAAATGCTTTAGATATAATGCTCTAGCTCACTGTAATCACTGAAAATACAGGAGCAGTAAGAAAAAACACCAGTTCAGAAAAGTTTATTAAAAAAACCCTAAGTAAACAACATAGATTTTTAAAAATGTACTTAAATATCTTACAATGTTCTAGAGAAAGAATATATTCATTATTACTATTCCAATTCCTGAAACTGAGGACTACACCTGTAATTTTTCTTCAAATACACTGTAAATTACATATAGATCTCATATTACAAGTAATCTGGTAAGAAATTAAGCATACATTTAAATACAAAAGGTACTGCTAATATGGTCAAAGATTCCGTAAGAAGCACTGCATATTGTATTCGGCTTTTCACCAATGAAAAAGAGAAAAATATGCTAAGAATCATCAGCTGAGTTCTTATAATAAAAATATCAAGAATTGACAACTTCAGCTTAGCTTTTCACTACTCAGAATAACTTTGTAAAGTGCATCTTCAAAAGCCAACCTTTTAAAATAAAGGAAAAGAAAACAAACCCCAAACAAAAGAAAAAAATCACCATACAAACATTTCTTATTTTCTAGATCACATGGTGTCACCTCTTTTGTAATGGAGCACTACTCTTGGCAGTACCATCAGCTCATTTTTTGTTCCTTTAAACTTGATAAAAAAGTATGTATGAAATGTTCTGGATGTTCCAGTAACTGGACAAAAAAACCCTTACCAATAAATTAACACTTTCATTCAGCAACCTTAAATCAAGGACTGTCTTTTCAACAGACAAATACATACAGCAGATATGTACATCAGATGCCTCTCGCTCATGCCCTATATACATTCTTTGCAAAATATGCTGCTCAGTAAGTACCCCTTTATATTGTAGACCAGAATCAGACCCCAAATGTAAAGGATAAAACCAGAGAGTACATGGCAAGATTACAGTCTTGAGGCGATTAAGGAATGAACATTAGTGACAAGGTCAACAGCAAGGAAGAAAAACATAGCTTCTTTGCCAGCTATAATGAAAATAGAATAGAATAGTTCCAGTTGGAAGGGACCTACAACAATCATCTAGTCCAACTGCCTGACTACTTCTGGGCTGACCAAAAGTTAAAGCGTATTGAGAGCATTTTTCAAACGCCTCTTGAACAATGACAGACTTGGGACATTGGCCACCTCTCTAGAAAGCCTGTTCCACTGCTTGACCACCCTTTCGGTAAAGAAATGCTTCCTAATGTCAAGTCTGAACCTCCCCTGGCACAGCTTTGACCCATTCCTGTCACTGGGTAGTAGGGAGAAGAGATCAGCACCTCCCTCTCTAATTCCCTTCCTCAGGAAGCTGTAGAGAGCAATGAGGTTGCCCCTCAGCCTCCTCATGTCCAAATTAGACAAGCCCAAAGTCCTCAGCTGCTCCTGGTAGGATGTGCCTTCCAGCTCTTTCACCAGCTTTGTTGCACTCCTCTGGACTCATGCAAGGACCTTCACATCCTTAGTAGATTGTGTGACCCAGAACTGCACACAGTACTCAAGGTGAGGCTGCACCAACGCTGAATACAGCAGGATAATTACTTCTTTTGACTGGCTGGTTGTGCTGTGTTTGATGCACTCAGGATGTGGTTTGCCCTCTTGGCTGCCAAGGCACACTGCTGCCTCATATTGAGCTTAGCATCGAACCAGCACCCCCAGATCCCTTTCTGCAGGGCTACTCTCCAGCCACTCCTTGCCCAGTTCATACTTGTGCCCAGCGTGACTCCACCATAGGCGCAGAATCCAACATCTGTTCCGTGTTAAATGTCATGCCGTTAATCATTGCCCAGTGCTCTAATCTATCTAGATCCCTCTGCAAGGCCTCTTATCCCTGGAGAGTCAACAGCACCTCCCAGTCTGGTATCATCAGCAAACTTGCTAATGGTGCATTCAACTCCTGCTTCTAGATCGTTGATAAAAATATTGAACCAGACTGGCCCTAGAATTGAGCCCTGAGGAACACTGCTGGTGATCAATCACCAGCCAGATGTAGCCCCATTCACTACAACCCTTTGAGCCCTGCCCTTCAGCTAGTTCTTTGCCCAGCATACCGTGTACCTGCTCATCTCACAGTTGGACAACTTGTCCAGAAGAATGCTGTGATGGACAGTATCAAAAGCCTGTCCAAAATCTAGAAAAACTACATCCACCACCTTTCCGTTCATCCACTAGGCAGGTGACCTTATCATAGAAGGATATCAAATTAGTTAAGCAGGACTTTCTCTTTGTGAATCCATGTTGACTCTGCCTGCCGATTGCACTGTTCTTTAAATGTCTTTCAACAGCACCCAGTACGATCTCCATAAATTGTCCAGGTACTGAGGTTAGACTAATAGGTCTGTAGTTTCCTGGGTCAATACAAGTGCCTATGTTAGGGCTGCAATAATACCCCAAGAAAGAGGATATAACGTGACCTTTTTCTCTCCTCCCTGCTTTCTATTATGAAGTGCAATCTTATTTTCATCTTAATTTTGGCAACTCCATTTAATCATTGTCTTGCTATGACAGTTTTCAAGAAAAGCGTATCTTGGAAGTTTAAGTATTAATTACAAGGGTACGATGTGCTTCAGTAAAGCTGCAAAGAAACATAAAAACCTCAGTCTACACCCAATTAAAATTATACAAAATTTATTTCTACTTAGAGGTTTTTATCCAGAATCCTGAAAGGAAAAAAAGGTTGTGTTTTATGCATTTGAATATGCATCTTCCTTTATTTATTCTGATTAAATAATAGTTTGGAACATACATTATTAACAGCAAGAGTTTAATGTCATTACACAGTCATTAAAACATCTGAATGTATTCAACAGATACATCTCTGAAAAGTGCTCTTTTTATTAATTATTCAGTCAAGTGTATTGAATTAACCATCTGAATACTCTTACTGAAGTCACATAAGATGGAGATCTATAAGACCTGCATATTTTACCCAACCAGCCCAATGTTTAACTACTTATACTTTCTGAATTTGGGGTCCTCATATGAATTCTATTTTAAAGGTTCCTATTTAGAATTTATGAACAACTAAACAGTGAGCCAGCATTGCCTTTTTGCATGTTCCCCAAAACTTGAGGGATACAGGAGCTCAAGTTCATGCACTCAGCATCATTCTGTTCATTCTAATTCAAGCATATCAGTTTCCTACCAATATCCACAAAGGGAACAACTGCAATTTGCAAATACAAACTTCCAGAGCAAAACTGAAGTGATCCATACAGTTTCACAAATTACTTACACAGTGATTAGAAAATAGTCCAAATGGGTATTGAAGTTACATACCACTCCATTTTGCTGCCTATGTTAAGTCATTTATCAGTTGTGTGGCAGGACTGCATGTAACCTTTTTGCTATACATAAATGCAACTTTTCAGTATTTGCTAGACACATACTTCAGAATACAGCTTCAAAGTTAATGAGAGTAAAGCTGTCAACTTTAGAGAGTAAGTTTAGGTTCCTTCTTTTGGAAACACACTATATCTTTAAAGACAACTAAGTATTTTGTAGAGAATAAAAAAATAATTGTCTTACCCTGGTATCTGATTTTGGCAGTGTTTTTCCTCCTTGAACCTTTAGCTTGCTCTGGCACTTGATAGAAAACAAACAAAACAAACATTTACTTACTCTTCCCTTTTGTAAGAAGGAAACACAATGCTTAGAAATTGAACAAAAGTTGTTTAATATAGGAATAAAAGAGTTTTGACTTGGCTCCTACTACATGCCTCAGAGCCTGACCCAGAACAGCAAATTAAGAAATATTTTGAAATCATACCACAGTAAAAAAGTAGAACTTCAATTAATTGAAAAGTAGAAAAGTAGCAGCTAAGAAAAGATGTATGATTTGAGGGAAAAGGCAAGTCATGAGGGAAAAGTTCATACAGGGAAAGACACTGACCAGATGAAGAACATGAGAAACTGGGAAGAGTGAGTCATGGACAAGGCTGAATAGGGAAGCTGCTGAGAAGTTAACACATTTGCTGCTACTATTCTGGCTCTCCAAACAGAGCAATCACATTATAATACACATTTTCAGTTTTAACTCATTTAGGGCAATATACTGTACACTTCAGAAATGGTCTCATTTTTAGAAGTGCACTACATCAGCTCCCATGACTGCAATGGGATATATATTAAGTCTGAAATTCAAGCCACCCCAGATATCCAGGGCTTCAGCAGGAGATGCCTACTAAACTCTTTCTTGTTTTATAACTGTCAGCAATTTAACCTGCCCAATGACAGGGCAGGATGTATTCTATTAAGCAGTAAAACTCATAAGCAGTACTTTGGAAACCTTGCTGTTAACGTTTTGGAACCAAAACACAATACAGGATTTCTCCAATAAAAACTGCTAATGCTGACACACAACCATTGGAACATTACATCATAAACCATATAACCTAGGAGCTAATTCAATGACTATTAGTTGTTTAAACTTTTTGCTGAAACATGCATGCATCCAGAATGCAACAATCATGAAGTAATAAAAATTCACTGTTTTTATCAACTTCCAAAGATAACACATATTATCACTTCCTGTATTGTTTTGGGGATGCTGGGAACAAGATATCAAAGATTATCAATTAAATTCAAAATAATAAACTTTCTAACTTCCCTTCTAACCTGAAACTTCCAAATAAAGTTCACATCTTCTAAAGTGGTGCCAAGCAAAACTTGTGTTGGTAACTTATGGTATTTCAGAAACCTAGACACAGGATTCCCTGTCACTTGTTCAATATTAAGGTAAGTTACCTGTAACAGCAAATAAAATCACATTAGTCTTTTTAAATCTAATTCTGTAAAACTATTGCACTGTAGGTTGTCTATGCTTTGTTCTACTTTAAGTTTAGAAGTATTTTTACTTCAGTTTCTGATACTTCTAATGCTTTTGAGTTTACAACTCAGAACTCAAGCAAATAGCATATAGGTACCACATAAAATTGAGTGAAGCGATTAAGACTCTCAAAATATTATTCAGAACATAATTTTTCAGAACCAGCAGAATCTTACAGGATGCATAGCATTCCCTCAGAACTGTTAAAAGCTTATCTTTCCTGGGATTCATGTAAATAAAAATAACTCCATCTAAAATGTTATTATTAGCATATTGGACCATATATTGAGATAGATAAATTTTATTCTTGAGGATGTAACTGTCAGTTTGCATGAGCATATGCTAACATCATCATCCTGGTAAGGCTCTTTCTCCTTTAAGATCCAAAGTATTTGTGAACAGCAGCTGAATCCCATCTTGCATGAGGCTAAACAGGGAAGGCTCTTGAGTCTCAGTGTGCTGGTACTACCAGAACACAAGTAAATTGTTTAATTTTCCGTAGTTTTAACATATACTCCCATTCTATTTAACTAAATCATAACATCAGCACACTGTAACAAAGTTTGACACTGCAAGGCATTCTTTACCCCTGCCAGCACTTCCACCTTTGGCCTTTCTGAAGATCTTCTCTTCCTTTTTTTTTTTTTCTTGTTTTGTTGTGGTGGTAAGCATGCAGTGAAGGATAGGAAGATGAACAAAAAAATACTAAGGAATATTTACAACAGATCTAGTCTATCACCTGTGATTTGCATACCTCTTCCATCTTCTGCCAAATACTCTCACATTCATTCAAGAGTTCTTCTTTGGCATCTACAGGACAAACTGACTCATTGGTGATTTCTGGTAAATATTCAGCCTATTAATGAGCAAATAGAACAATTATTACATAGATCTACAATAATTATTAACAGCTTACTGAATCATACATATTTGACCTGAACTAGCAGGTAACAGAGCAATCCCTCTGACTTCAAAGCTTTCAGTTAACTTCCCTGTATTTCTAAATAGCACCCAATCACTCAGTAAAATCAGCTGACTATACTACTATAGTAAAATTTGAAGACACTAATGATGTTTTTTAAAATTGAATCACAAAGCCCTAAATTTTCAAAACAGCTTTGACTATCTGCAATGGTGATTTTTATTTCCTGACAACTTGTCATGGTTTAAGACCAGCCAGCAACTAAGCACCACGCAGCCGCTCATTCACTCCCCTCACCCAGAAGGAACAGGGAGAGAATCAGAAAGAAAAAGGTAAAACTTGTGGATTGAGATAAGAACAGTTTAACAGAACAGAAAGGAAGATACTAATAATGATAATAATAACAACAATAATAAAATTACAATACTACTAATAAACAAGACTGGAATATACAAACAAGTGATGCCCAATGCAATTGCTCACCACTTGCCAACCGATGCCCAGTTAGTCCCCAAGTGGTGATCCCCCCGCCCCCACTCCCCTCAGTTCCTATACTAGACGTGACATCACATGGCATGGAATACCCCTTTGGCCAGTTTGGGTCAGCTGCCCTGGCTGTGTCCCCTCCCAACTTCTTGTGCCCCTCCAGCCTTCTTGCTGGCTGGGCATGAGAAGCTGGAAAATCTTTTACTTAGTATAAACACTACTCAGAAACAACTGAAAACATCAGTGTGTTATCAACATTTTTCTCACACTAAATCCAAAATACAACACTATACGAGCTACTAGAAAGAAAATTCTATCCCACCTGAAACCAGGACACAACTTTAGTAAAGAAACAGTAAGAGAATCTCACATCTACAAAGCCATGCTTCTTTTCCATATATTTGCAAAGTTCTTAGGCATAGTTACTTCTGCTCTGTCTTCCAGTAGATGTCCTAACCTATATCTCCTTATGACAACTTGAATTTAGAATCTTTTTGATTAACAAATTAAAGTGTCCTGGAGATTACTTGAAAAAAACAAACAAAAAACCCATGAAAGATATGCAGGCAACCAAGCAAAGAGGACACCAGGACAGTCAAGAGAAAAATCAACCCAAGTTAAATTAAAAATAAGAAACACATACAAATTCAGAAATTTAATCCTAGTTAAATCTATAAAGACATAGATGAACAACAATAGCAATTAAGAGGAAAAAAACCAAGAAGGGCAAAAATGGCACTCAAAGGGAAAATTTTTTTAAGGTAAAACAAGCAACCGGGATTTCCTAGATGTACAAGATGCAGGAAGCCTTTAAAGAAAAAACAACAAACTTAAATGGATCACTAAGCCCACCAAATACTTAGTGATTAAAAAGAGACATTAAAAAAAGATAAAGACCTAAAGAAGAAATAAACATCTGCCGCCTTAATGATGCTGAAATTCCCAACTCAACCTTTTGTTCATTTTCAGAACAAAAATGCAGTATCACAGAAAATTACGCTGGAAACTTTAAAAGGAGAGAAATATTCAACTACTACCTTCAACGTTCAAGTATGCCATAGCAGAGTGGCTAAGACACAAATCAGAACATCTCACTGAACACTGGAAGTATTCTAGAGAACTAAAAGGTAGCAATACTTCTACTAAGCCTTCCTGGCAAATTTATTGCATCAGTAGTTAAAAACAGAACACTAGAAAATGTGGATTGCCATGAGCTGATAAGGTCTAATGAGGAAGTTTTTGCAAAGGAAAATCATTATCCTCCTAAGAGTCTTGGAATGTTTCCATAACATAAACATAATTTATTAAGACTTCTGAAATACCTCCAGAGAAGTCCCCCACAGAAGGCTAGTAAAGAAACTAAGCAGTCTTGAGATGCAATGTACTTTTTTTCCTCAGACAAAAACTGTCAAGGAGACAAACAAAAAAGCCCCTCAACAGAATTTTCATCATGCCCAAAAGACTCAACAGCAGAGTTAAGAGGGCCTGAATGAAAAAAATAAAAGGGGGGGGAGGAGGCTGAAAAAGGAGGTACAACCTTTGGAAATTTGAAAGGTGTCTAGGGGTAGAATAAAAAGTCCTGTCCCCCTGTGTCCCCCCTCAATAATACAATCCATCAACATGAAAACATTATATGAAATAAATCTGAGTACATAGCCAACTCCCCCTCCCCAAATATTTAAATTGTTATAATGATGTTATTGTTGTTGACCCTCAAAATTCCCATGACTGATTTCACACAAAGTTTCAAAACGTACACATTATGAGAAGATACTACAAGTCTCTGTAGTGCAAGCCAAACTGACTTGTAGTCCCTAGTACTATGCTGTTAATTACCTTACAAAGTATATACACTGAAGTATCATGTTCAAATGTTTTTCCTTGTGGACTGAAGTTTTGCCTATTTCTGAATGGTAAAATTAGGTTTCTATTTGTACGCCATACCTGAAAACTGAAGACTTTTTTTTGCATGTCACTAATATTAAAGCATTCCAGTATCAACAAGTTAATCCTTCTTACTGCATTTTACAACCACATAATTAGGTAAAAAATACATGCAAGGACAAGCGTGCATTGTATACACTCTGCCAGCCAAGAGATCAGGGAAGCTTTATGGGAAATGTTTCATGTCAACAAAAACAAAACGACCAACTACTGGAAGAAATTCACAGATGAGAAAGGAAAGTAACAGCAGCCCTGGGACAACTGATAGGGAAAAAAAAACCCCAAACACCCCCCCCCCCCCCAAAAAAAAAAAAAAAAAACCAGGAGTTCACCGTGGGAAGGAGAAGAATAAAAGCAGGATCCAAATAACACCACAACAGAGATTAGACGGGCATCTCCCCCTCTCCCCGACATAAGCCCCAGTACTACGCCGCGACAGGAGAACACGAGGAAGGAGGTTACTCCTCGCAGGCCAGGGATGACCGCGTCCTTTCCCCAGGCGACAGCGAGCAGGCAGGCAGGGCGGCAGGGGCCAGCCCGCTCCCCTCCCGTCGGCCCCGCCGCCCTAACGGCCGCCGGCCCCCCCCCCCGAGCGGCCGCCCCGGCTCCCCGGCCGGGGAGCCGCTCCGCTCAGTCGCCGAAACGCGGGAGCCCCCGCCTCGGG